ACTTGGCTGAAAATCTCCCCTGAATGTTCAGTTAAAACAGTATGACAAAGACACATATATCCATGGAAAAATATTAACAAGCTGGTTCCATCCGAAGTCCTGGCTGTGAGAGCAAGAGTTTATATGGACCTGGCAATGTATAAAGGTTGCAGAAGGTCTTCAGGGTTCAAAATGTCTGAAGGACTTGGTGTTGGTACTCAAACTTGTGAAGTTATTCAAGAAGACTTTGTCAAAGTGGTATCTCTCAGTGCCAGTGGAAAAGCTAAAAAACATAGTCACTGAGGGATTTTCTTCTATCATTGTGACTGAGGATAACATTCCTGAGGAGGAATTCTTGTGCCAGGAATGTCTTTGCTCCATTAGTCTATTTTTTCCAAGGTCAGGAGTTTACTGCTTAGATATAACAGAAGGTAAATCACCAATCTAGTCTCACAGTCCTTAGTTGACAAAACGTGAAACTTGCACGTTTCTCAGGATATGAGACTCCCCATAACAATAAAGACACTCAGTGTGCCTACCCACAGAGCATCTCTCCCCTGTCCCAGGAGAAAGACATCTAACAAATGAACAATTAGAGGAAGTCACATTGTTATAGGAGAAGTCTGGTCTTTGCAAGCAGTAGAATCTCACAGAGAGGTGCCATGGGATATGAATCAAAGCAGAGTCTGGCCTCACTGAAAAGTAATGGCAGCTGGAATAGAAGAACAAAAAAACAGAAGGGAAAAGACAAAATAAGCTTAAAGTGAAGGACAGGGCAGAAAAGGGGTAGTGAAATGAAGATTTTAATATATGGCTGTAGGCTTATCACACAATTTGAAGCAACCTAGTGAAGCCCTTTTCTGAGCCAAGAAACTTAAGAGAAACTAAGAAACAGGCAATATGGCGTCTTTAACATGATCAGCACAAATGAAGGAATAAATGCTCTGTGGATAGAGAAAGCATTTCTTCAGGGTGAAGGGACTGAGGTTCATACAGTGCCCCTCCCAAAGGGGCACAGGGATGAGCGCTCACAGAAGTGGTATTTAGCTGCCAACAGAAGGCACTGACCACCTTTCCTGCAAATTTACACCACCTTCCACATACCTGTCTTTAGTGACAACAGTGCTGTCAATAACATCCAGGCATGGACTCCTCCCTTATCTATTTGCAATTGGATTGTCAGCTTCCCTCCAAATTTCTCAATAGGAAGTGAAAGTCAAATTGACTCACTGCTACCACACTGGTACACAGATGCAACAGTTGCTTCCCTTTTCCCATCACGGCTTTCATTTGGGTTATAGAAAGATAAACTTTAGAAAAATTCTGAGAAATGAAAGAGATCAAGAAATAGAAAAGTCAGGAGAGCAAGACCAAAATGTTCATTGACATTACAGTATCAAAAGGATAAAATAGTGCTCAAAGACCTCAACTACATCTTGTCTGACAGAGAGAAAGGCAAAAGGTATCCATCCCTAAAATCCTAAATTCATGACGCGTCAGCAAATGATTACTGGTGGTGAGACATAATGGAAGAGAACTTCCCCCAAAGCAAAGAAGGATTTTGTAGAGGAACAACCACAAAGTATGGGAAACAATGGAGATGAAGGGGAAGAGATGATGAAGATGTAGGAGGAAAATGGCATAGTGTGGAATGACAATGTGGAAGTGATATGAAGGGGAAAAAGCGATCAGGTGGTGGGTCAAAAAGAAAAATAGGACAGATTATTTAAATTAGAAAAGAGAATAGACAAAAAAGTGGCAAAAAACCCTAAGAAATTAGTTTTTAAAGCAGTAACAAAACAACAAGCTGGTATTTTTTGAGGGAATGAATACATATGGCACACATTTTATTCTACTGCCTCAAAAGGTGCATGGAGGTGATGCTCAGTAAGTCTCCATTTGCGAGAAGTTCATAATTTCTCAGGATGATCCGTGGAAGAAAAAAAATGAACAGAAAGTTTTCAATATGTGTGCTACCATCTGTTTAAGAGCTGTATCCACAGCAACTAGAAACCAAGACAAAAATCAGTCACTGTGTAACCACACTCCCCTGAGAAACTAGCAACGTAAGATATTATTTTCAGTTTCTAACAACATATTCTGACACAGTACCACTGAACATTTAAGGGCTAAAATCAGGTAGATTAAGTAATGAAGTTGGTGGTTTATGTTCAAATTCTACCACATACTCAACCTACTCAGAGTTACAGACAACCGAGCATTCACATGCACAGCTCCATGCTTCAGGCTCCTCCAGACCAGAACATTTCAGTTAAGAGAAAGAATGGGAAACGTAAAGCTCAACGAGTTGCCAATGAAGAAATTCTGGCAGGGTTGGTTGGGGTTTTTTTGTAGAAAGCATCCAAAGTGAATTCCACTTTGGATACATGAGCTCAGTGAACAGCAGGAAAAAAAAAAATAAAAAAAAGCCAAACATTATTTACATCTCAGTATCTTGGGGTACAGTAAAAACAACTTATGAGAAATGTTTTTTCCCCACTTTCTTTTGCTTTTTTTTTTTTTAATTTATTTTTTTAAAAACTGTTACTCTTCTTGTGTTGGTTTGTGTAACTTGTCAGGCTCACATTCCTCAGAATTTCTTGCAAAGACTTGCATAAACTTACTACTAAAACCATCTATTTAAGAAAGGGGCCTCCTTATGGCCAGAACAGAGCTTGCCACACTGTGCAGTCAATGGAGCACCATGAAAACCACCTATCACATTCCTGTCTTCTCCTTCCATAATGCCACCAATATACAGGGAAGCTGGACTGTATCTTTTCTCAAACAGATAATCTGAAGAGTAACGGAGTAGGAGGAATTAGCCCAGTACCTTCTCAAGGGGCAGCTAAACAAAATTGTTGCACTATGGCATACAGATGAAAGTTAAAGTTCATTTCCTTTGCCAAACAAAATAGAAAGCAGAGCAGAAAATGTTATCTCACCTCTGGCACATTACCTACAGACAGCATAGACTCCAGAAATCTATACAACATTCCCCTAAAATGTAATTCAAAGCCATATTTGATGACTGATACATATTTTGAAGCTTTTATTATTTTCAGCTTCAGAAAAAAAAGTCCCTGAGAAACTGAACTTCATTCTTTATCCACTTCACTCCCACATACAAAATTATGATCTAAATTCCATCTGTAATGTGATCGGCTCAACTCCACTGTCTTCAAACTACACCTTTCCAAGCCTCTGAAGGCAAAAGAATTGCCCAAGTACAGCAATCCAGAAAATAGCTTTCAATTTTTAAAATTTTGAGATTTAAATTAGCCTGCTTTTAATTTTTACTACTACATCTCAACATTTGTTAATGATGCTTTTTGTGATTTAGTTGATGGCCAGTCAATTCTGTGAGTGAGACATTAAAGAAAAGGCTGGTCAAAAGCTTTCATGACACATCTTTTCTGAAGAGACTCTCTGAAACGTTCATACATTGATCCCATCGCCTTCTGATCACTGGTTTCGCAGATTAGCACTATCAGTTAACTAAATGTGGTGCTCAAGTTAAAGGCCAAACATAAAGATAACTTGAAAGTGTTTCAGTAACTTGTAAAGGAAAGCATCTTACTGATGTTCAAGCAATGTTCATTTATTTTACTTAATCCCTTTCACCTTTTTAAAGAACTCTATTTGAAGTCAAACATGAAAAGACATTTTTCCACTTTCATTGTTCCTAGCCTAAGGAAAAGAGAAGATGAGAAGAAAATGTTATCAACTCTTCTTTTATCATTTACTGTTCTGAACTTATTTACCACTTTTTGCAATTTAAGATATATTCTGAAGACTGTCCTTCATAACTGGGAACGGCTTCTTCCTCCTATCTGAAGAAACTTGGCTCCACTCTTCCCAGCAGCCTGTATTCCAACAGACACTTTCAATTCATTTTCTATTACAACGGCAGTGTTTGAGAATTGAGTAATTTCTATTTCAGTTCTTATAACTGATTAATGTTCTATGGGAATAGAGAAAAGTAGATTACAATATTTCCACCTGAGGAACAATCTCATCAGATTGAAATATTCAGAAATCAAGGAAAACAAAATGACATTATCGGGGACTGGAAAAAAAGATTCATATGCCAGTTGTTGACCAAAGCTTTATGCCATCATCGCACCTCGAATTCTGGCAACATATTAATGGTAAGATAGCTATACCTACTTGCACTACACTACCTGGAACACAACAAGAACTTGTGTATCAGTACAGAGCTGTGTTTCAGGCAGAGGAAGCTAGGCTGCAATTAAATTATGAACAATTTATGTTCACACAGAGCAATGTAAGGCCTATGTTTTCCATTAGGTTTGATGGAATAGTAACACATGTATCTCAAATACAGGAAAAAGTGAATTGAGACACCATATGCCTTGTTTTACTGCCCTGTAACGCGAAGTATGTGAATATATGCACTTGCTGGTTTGACTAAACCAGAGAAAATAAAAAGGCTCTGCTATTCTAGTAAATAAGGAAATAAACCAAGAGCATTAAATGTGGCAAACAGAAACTCCCTGTGGTTGACCTCTGTAAGAAAGTTAGGGAATTTAATTTCTGCACTTTCTTAAAAGAAACAAGCCTTATTCAAAGTACATCTGCAAACAAATTAGTTATGTAGACAATTTTCAACCATTCTGAAAAGGATGCTAACAATACAAATAGTCAGAAGAGCCAGGAGCATTTTGACTTCCTAGCTTTCCACAGTGGCTCTTACTAAAGACCACCAAGAGACAATCACTTTACCTTCCTGCCTCATTTTTGATGAAAGAACGCCAGAAGTACTGATATCCTTAGAGGATTGTCTGACATTCTGCTTACATCTTGTGAAGCAGTTTTAACATATAAGGCTATATAAAACACTTAAATGACTATTAGCAGTACAACAGTGTATGAAAGACTGATGGGGCAAGAATAAAGAAATACATTCTTTTTGAGAAATAGGAACCACAAAAGATATAAGACCCAAGATTTATTTTTCCCATAATTTAATATAATCCTTACAGAACATATATCAATACCTGCTGCTGCCTTTGCCGCCTCATTTGGGCAACCTGAGACATCATGATTTGACGATCCAGTAACTCCATCCTCTGCTGCCTCTGGATATCAACTGTTGCTCCCATTCCTACTTGAACTTCATTTGTTGGTTCCGCAGATGAGAAGATTGGTTCAAGAGTCCAAGAAAAGATCTTTGCTACCCAGCTGGGTACACAAAGAATTCGATGAACTTTTAATATACTGCTATTGTAGCAAATCCCAGAAACCTAAAACCAAAAATGAAATGTTAAAAAAACCCCACCAAAACAAAAAAAAAACTTAAATGCACCCAATTTACTTTGTATTTAGCTGGAGATAGCAGTTTCCAGTCTTTCTGTTTTTTAAAGCACTTTTTATTGTATTTACCCAGAGTTCTCAGTCAAGAATCAGAGAAAGAATAGGGGATTTCTTTACTTCCAACTTCCCCACAACTATAGACTATCACTTTTTAAAATCTGTGTACTGCATTGCCTGTGACTCAGAAAGCTGCTTGGGGTTTTTTGTTCATTTCAGAATTTGAGTCCAAACCAAGTGACCCTTTCTCAGGTCAAAATTCAAACAAAATTTTCATTTCTAATAAAGGAACTGGTCAGGGTATGCTGCATGCTGACCTGAGAAGATTAAGGCTGCCCCTGAGGATGCTGAAGCACTGTAAACACTCCTTAAAAAAAACAACCCCCTTAAGGCTTCTGCTCCCACCACCCAAGTCTGTCCTTCTAGTAAAAACAAAAGCAAAACAGCCAATTTGAAGGTAAGTCTAAGAGTATGCACAGAGTTATTCCAAAAGCATCCCATCTACCTTCTAGGATTAAAAAAAAAAAGTCAAAACCAGTTCATTAAAAACGGTGATATTGAAAAAGCCAGCTTTTGTGATGCCTTCTCTCATCTATAAGAAAAATACCCATTCTCTGTGTTCATGCTCATGCTTGCCTTGGGGCTTGATTTAATTTCAGATTCAGGAGGAGCACCAGAAATCCATGCACCCCATAAATGATCTACAGTCATTGCTCAGCCATCATTTTAAATCCCATTACAAAGCTCTAGCACTTGAGCCCGAAGTGGTACAGCAGAAAGGCCAAAGTTCTTGCACAAACTGAGTGTGCATTCTGCTTTATGCCACATTTCAGTATTTGTGACTATTTATTGTCTGTTATGCCACAAGAATTACGCTATGACAACAGAGTGAAATGAACAGAAAGAGATAAGAACCCCTCAAAAATCCATAAACATACCTAAACAATGCAATTATGCTAGAAGCGATGTAAAAACTCCACATTTGGGCTATATATTTTTGGATATTTATTTTATCTCACTGACATTTGTATAATCATACCAAATGCATTGCTGCATATATAAAGGGATATAGGAAAATTCAACGTTCTTTGGGAGGGGGATAATTTTCAGATTATTTACAAAGTTATTGTTATTCAGTGAGATAAGGAGACTTCTAGCAAAAATACATTCTGTTTTGGGAAACACTGATTTTCACCTTATTCTACTTTGATTTTATGACTGCTCTCAGGGTTGAATGTAACACCAAACACAGGCTACCATTCTAAAATGAGAAAGAACAGTTTTAAACTACCCTTAACTCCTTGAATCATTTTGTGCTATAAGGATGGAGGTAAATGGGATGGGATAAGAGGAAGGCCATAACATCTGGCATCATAGTGAAGGCTAACTTTAATAAAAATTTTCTGTATTCAAAGAAACATCCTCACTGGACTCTAGGAATGACAGGGCACTGGAACAGAAACTGCTTCATGACCTCTGAAATTCTTTCCTCAGCTCTAGTGAAACTGTTCCAGATTACTGTAAGCCCACAACCAAAACTTGTGCACATCAAGTGGAAACTGAGATAGAACTATAACAGCCAGAGAATAAGTGGAGGAAAATCACATCACTTCTGCAACTCATCTACTTTTGGCATGTAGTACTTGAATATCTACCTAGCAAGGTCTCTCAGAAGCTAACCACCTGGTTCCAAAAGAGTTACGTAGATAGGCCTCTCATTCAAGAAAACCTAGATTGTAGGGCTACCAGGAAGGTTACGTTTTTTTGAGCAAGAATTACTGAACCAGGCTGCAAATATTATGTATACATTTAATCTGATGATTTCTTAGATACAAAATGCACAAGCAGCACCAGAACCTACAAGTGGTCTTCCTTCCTCTCACCTTGTATTGTTCAGCTATGGAGCCAGGCCCCCTCTTTGGTCCAAGGGATTCTGCATTCCTGGTTAAAGAGGTGTAACCAGGCAAGGAAAGTGCTCCTGCTTAAACTACTTTGTCCAAACAGTATTCCCTCACTTCTTCCAAATGTCTCTTCCAGCTACTGCTTTCTGCTCACTCTTATCACCTACAGTTCTTTGTTAAGGTCTAGTGTTTTCAGGGTACTCTAAATCTTGAACAGGTTCAAAAAGTCACAAGAACAAAACAAAGCAAGTGCTGATAGGAAAATCTACATCTCTCTGAATGTATGACAAATCTTGACACGTGTCTGAACACATTAACCACAAACAGAATCATTCTCTTATCAGCTCAAGATAGAAAATACAGCAAAGAGATAGCAGCAGTATGTCTTTAGTGTCAGTACTTTGGGACTTGTTTGTCTCAGAAGGGAAAGTGCTGCAAGCACCAACTGGTAGCTGCATAAATAAAAGCATTCTCAGATTTTTCTAAGTAGAGATGGCTAGTCATAGAATCATAGAGTCACTTAGGTTGGAAAAGACCCGTAAGATCATTGAGTCCAATCATTAACTTAACTCTGCCAAATCCACCACTAAACCATGTCCCTAAGTGCCACATCTAAATGTCTTTTAAATCCCTCCAGGGATGGTGACTCAACCACTCCCCTGGACAGCCTGTTCCAATGCTTGACAACACTTTCAGTGAAGAATTTCTTCCTAATATGCAATCTAAACCTCCCCTGATCCAACCTGAGGCAGTTTCCTCATGTCCTATTTGGGAAAAGAGACCAACACTCACCTCGTTACAACCTCTGTTCAGGTAGTTGTAGAGAGCAAGTCATTCCAGAGCATTTAATGAGGAAAGAAAGGCTTTATAAGGCTAAAAGTCTGTTAACACTGCTAAAATCGATAATGGCACCTAGCACTGTGTGTGAGACTCATACATGTAGCTCCCATCTGCCTTCCTAGCTTACTGAGCTCACTGGAGTAGCATGCCTGGTCTGTAGCCAATGTACCAGTTGCATTGGGCTGTCTTCTCTCTCCTTGCTGCTCCTCAGCAGCAGACTAGTGTCTTGGCCCCTCCTTGTCCTGCCTTAGACAGAAACTCATTGCATAACCCAAATGTGTGGACTTCTGTCCTCACAGAGCAGGAAGTTGAGAAGTCAGACAATATAAAGTTCACAGTAAAATCTAAAATAAAAAGCATCTGGTGAAGGAACAAGACAAAACTGTGTGGGAATAGCAGAAAAGAGGTGTATCTTCTGCATATAGCTGCCAAGAAACTTATTGTGGACCAATAATTGTTCAGAGCAATCACATGAGACCGCAATTCATCACAAGTATAAACAAATGGAATGACAGACTCAATGGTGAAGAGCACCAAGTGTACAGTGGCAATCCACCTTGTTACCTTTACATCTGCCAGGATTTCAGTGTCACTCCCCTTCCTCTCTCCCTTGATTTACTATTTCAATTATAAAGCTATTAGTTGTAAGTATAAGAAACCTTAAACGCTATGCTTGGTTTTAACAAATTTTCCAGAAGTTTCAGCTAGTGCGGAAGAGGTACCTATTTGCATGTTTCCAATAAACCCAGAATGGAGACACTTGTAGTTAAAATAGGACTTGTGATTCAGTCTGGTTTAGAGTCATACACTCATCTTAATGTCAAGTATTTCCAAAGAACTTCCCCTTTATCTGGCTCATATGCAGAACTTGATATATATAATTTAAAAACCCCCAAGCCTTGACAAAGTATAAAGTAACTTTTTACAGTGTTTTTGTAACAGATATGTAATGAATTTCTAGTGTTTAAGAAACTAAACCAACTTTGTTTGTTCAACAAAGATAAGATGATTTCATTATATCCCAACTTCAGCACTGTAACCTCAAATTAAAGGACTACTTCCCCCAAAGAGATGAGCCTCCAGAGTATTTTAAAGTCACCATAGTGCTGCACTTAAGTTCACACTGTTAGAATGGAGAATTTTTGGCTGGCAATATAAAATGCATCTTAATTGTTTTCTGTTAGTCACACCATCATAACCTACAGCCTCATCTACCACATCATATAAGACACAATGCTAAGCAGAGGAAATGGAGTATGCTGGAAATTTTCTGGCATGCTGCAGGAAAAAGTGTTCTTACATTTTTTTCAGTTTCTGAACATCACAGCTTACTACTGGTCCTTCACATGAAGTTTCCTAACCTCTTCCCACCCTTGTATAAAGCCCCACCTCCCCTCCTGTTCCCCCGTGTCCCTTTGAAGTTGTACACTTTTTAAAAAAAGGAAGTAGCTGTAGTTTCTCTTTTACATTAGGTAAACCAAACATGGAAGCCCTCCAGTATTTCACACAACAAAGACACATATGCTCTGCTACTGAGATATTTAAAATCACTATACTTGATTAACACTAAAAAAGGAAATCAAATGGACAAAACATTAGGCAGATTGGTGTAGAAAATGATGTTTAAAGTTATTTTGCCTAATGGTTAGAACTTGACAGCAAATAATTATTTTCTTCTGAGTAACTGAAATATATTCATCATATGTATTCAAGACTTCACTATTTTCAATAACAAACTGAAAGCAAACAGCAGTATTCTTAAGGTGAAGTGAAATTTTTATTCCTATTTGATCTGCTTTATCCTTAGTATATTCTGAATACTATACAACTAGAATCAAAACAAGGGGTTAAATTTTGTGTTGAGATTCTGTATTTACCTTGATTAGAGAAACACATTTAACAAACCAAGAGAGAGTGTGTGAAGACCACCCAACAATAAAATAAAACCACTACCCATGTATTTTCAACTTGTAATTATAACCTGCAATGTAATTAGAACACAATAGTTTATTTTGTTTGGGTTTCCTTTGCAGAAATAGTTACTAAGAGTATAAACTGCCTTTTCCAATAGCTAGCTTGACAGAAAAGTAAGATTATAATAATAATAATAATAATAATAATAAACTAATACTCCTCAATTTCCTTCCCAGTTGACTGGTCTCATAAATTTTCCATATACCTTGAATTTTTTT